TGGTCCGAGTCAAGGCTGCGAGGGAAGAGTAGGGCAGGTGTGGCCAGACCAAAGTCCCCCCCAATCCTTGCCTGTCCCTGCCTGCACCAAGCAGCTGAGACCTCAGCATTGGACCCTTACTGGTACCCTCAAAATTTAGCAGCCGACCCCTCATTACCTGTACAGCTTGGGGATGGCATGGGCGGCTGTCTTGCGCACGTATGGGGACATGTCCGAGGCGGCCTCCTTGATGGCCAACATCATGATGGGCACAATGATGGGCACGCGGATGCTGGAGAGGACCCGCAGGGCGCTGGCGCGGATCAGCTGGTTGGGGTCCTGTGGGGATATGCGGGGGGCTGCAGCGCAGCCGTGGGGGGCTCGCCGCCCCCCCAGACAGTCCCTGGGTCCCCAAACCGGCCCACCTTGAGTCCTCGCTGGAAGGTAGAGATGGAGAGCAGGGCCAGATCCTGCTGCTCCTCTGCGTAGCGCACCAGGTAGACGTACACCAGCTTCTTCACCTGTGGGGTGAAGGTAGTGGGGCCACCTCAGAGTCCCCCAAAACCCAGCCCATCCCCAAAACCCTCCTGCAGGGGAGGTGTCAGACCCTGGGGACACCCATGGATGCCACCAAGGCCACCCAAGACCTTCCTCACCTCGATGTTCTTGCAGGCAACATTTTTCACCACGGCTGGGAAGAGGTCGGAGGCGTTTTTACCCCGGGCTATCATCTAGGAGGTAAAGGAGCAGTATGACACCAGGCTGCTGGCATGGCATGGCACAGCACGGCACGGCTCAGCACGGCATGGCTCGGCACCAGCAGTGATCCCCACTGGTAGCAACAACACCCACCGCCACGATTCTCTTCATGGCCTCCAGCTTGAGCGAATCCTTGTTGCTATCGAGCATCTCCTTGAGGTCATCATGCCTGCACCGTGCCAGGGGAAAAAATCCCATTTTCTGTTTTTAGCCATTTTTAAGCATTTTTAGTCTTTTTTTTTGCTCCCAGCCTGCCGTCAGGCTGGCAACCCGACCCTTCACCATGCAGTATTTATGGGGACAGGAGTTGGGTTACAGCCAGGTGAAAGAGGAGCTGGAGGGACTGGCATGGCACTGGCACCCAGCTCTGCCCCCACCCTGGGCGCTGGGATGAGGACCCCATCCCAGCCTGGCTGTGGCTGTCACCCCAGGATGTCCCCAGATCACTTCCCAGGGAGCAGGTGCCCATCACTGGCTCCATCCCAGCCACCAGCCCAGTTGGGCTGAGTGTCCCTTGTCCCCTCCTGGGCACGGTGGCATGGATGCGCCAGTGCACTCTGATGCAGAGCCCTTCCCTGGTCCCCTCCCTGGGCTGGGAAAATGCCACCACCGTCCCCTTTTATAAAGCTGGTTGTCACCACTGTCCCCTCTTCTAAGGGACATCCATCCCCACTGAACTAGGGGGGACCTGCAAGGCTGCGTCCAGCCACAGCAGCTGGGGGTGGCACCCATGGGACAATGCTCGGCCAGAGCCACCGTTGCCAGAGGGTCCCAGGGGGACTCCTTGGAGGGGTCTTACCGTGGCGGTGGCCCAGTGCTGGTGGCCACCGTGGGCTTGGGGCTGGAGAGTGGCCGCAGCTCATCGGCTCGCAGGGCGCTGTAGCAGGCAGGTTGTCTGGCCTCAGTGGCCAGCACCGGGCTCATTACCTCCTCGGCCGTGTCACTGCCCGACGGTGATTTTGGCCGCCTGGCTGGCCCTGCTGGTAGCTGCTGCAGCAGCTTCTGCACCGGCGGCAGGGACAGCATGGCTTCAGCCAGGGGTGGTGGCCCTGAGGATGGTGGCAGGGCTGTGGCCCTGCTCCTCCTCCCAGCACCGCTGGCTGAAACCTGATGCTGTTGTTGGGGTTGGGTTGCAGCCACAGTCGTGACGCCCTTCCTGGTGGACAAGGCCAGCCTGGAGTGTCACATCCCAAGTGACACCCCTCCTGCAGCTGGGGCTTGGGGACATTGCAGGGAGCTCCTTCCCTGTGTGCTTCGAGTGGCTCAGTCCTGGCCAGGGACCCCATGTCACACTGGGACACCTACCTGCGTGATGAGGTGGCAGGATGGGACACTGGTGGGTGTCCCACCTGGGTGACGGGGTGGCACTTGGGAGGCATTTCTCTTGCCCCATGCGCCATGCACAGCTCATGGGGACGGTGACAGATCTGGTGTGGCCACAAGGGGATGGGCTCTGGGGAAGGGCAGCACGCAGGTGATGGGGACAGTGCCCGGGGGTCAGGGATGGGGGCACACTGCCAGACTGGGGGACACTGCCAGGGGGTCAGAGATAGGGGGACACTGCCAGAGTGGGGGACACTGATGGTAGGTCAGAGCTGGAGGGACACTGCCAGACTCGGGGACACTGCCAGTGGGGGTCAGGGGACACTGCCAGACTTGGGGACAGGGGTACACTGCCAGGCTGGGAGACACTGCCAGACTGGGGGACATTGCCAGGGGGTCAGAGATAGGGGGACCCAGCCAAACTGGGGGACAGTGCCAGGGGCTCATGGAAGGGGAGGACACTGTGAGATGGGGACACTGCCAGCGGGTCATGGATGGGGGACACTGCAAGACTGGGGAACACTGCCAGGCTGGGGGACAGCCAGCAGGGCAGGAATGAGGGGACACATCCAGCCTGGGGGACACTGCCAGCGCGTCAGGACTGGGGTGTCACTGCCAGATTGGAGGACGCTATCAGGCAGTAATGGATGGGGGGGACACTGCCAGACTGGGGGACACTGCCAGGGGTAGGGAGTGTGACACTGCCAGACAGGAGTACACTGCCGGGGCATTAGGGAGGCAGGGACACTGCCAGAGTGGGGGACACTGCCAGGGGGTCAGGGCTGGGGGTACACTGCCAGAGTAGGGGACAATGCCAGGGGCTCAGGGAAGGGGGGACACTGTGAGATGGGGACACTGCCAGCAGGTCACAGATGGGGGACACATCCAAAGTGGGGGACACTGCCAGGGGGTCAGGGCTGGGGGTACACTGCCAGAGTGGAGGACGCTGTTAGCAAGTCAGGGAGGGGGGGACACATCCAGGTGGGAGGACACTGCCAGTGGATCAGGGCTGGGGGGACACTGCCAGAGTGGGGGACACTGCCAGCGAGCCAGGGAGGGGAGGACACTGCCAGAGTGGGGGACACGGCCGGAGGTAAGGACTAGGGGGACACTGCCAGAGTGGGGGACACTGCCAGCAGAGAAGGGTGGGGGACACTGCCAGGAGGTCAGAGACAGGGGATACATCCAGCCTGGGGGAGGCTGCTGGGGTGGTGGTGCCACTGCCAGACAGGGGGACACTGCTGCGGCATTAGGGAGGGGTCCAGGGATGGGGGACACTGCCTGAATGGGGGACACTGTCAGCGAGTCGGGGGGGGGACGACACTGTCAGACTGGGGCCA